TGAAGCCAAATTGTGTTTTAGATATTATACCCTGTGAGCTAGCAAACGAATATATTCTTGAGTAAATGATCTTTTCAAAGATTTTACCAAATATAGAGAGAGTAGAGATTGGGCGGTAGTTTTCTATCTCTTCAGGGTTTCCCTTCTTAAATACAGGAGTTATTCTACCAGTCTTTAAAACGTCGGGGAACGTGCCATTAGACATTAAGATGTTGATGTATCGACTAAGGATCGGTGTAATTACGTGAGATGATCTTTTGATTACACTAACAGGAATATCACTTGCTTTTCCATTTTCGAATCCTTTTATTATTTCCGTTATCTCATAAGGTGTACAGTCTTCTAACATAATCGATTTTTCATTAGTCTTTCCAAGGAAATCATAGAATGTTTTTATAGGGAGAATTGGTAAACCAGAGGCCTCACTGCTACTAAGTGTTTCATTGAGCTTAGGGGCAATAGAAACAAAGTAAGAGTTGAATCCATTGGCTATGACTCTACGATTCATGATTCGTTCGTTGTTTATGATAAAGGGAGGCTTAGTTTGCTTCTTTTTCTTGCCCCTGAGCTCATTGATTATCTGCCACGTTTTTTTGCTGTTTTCTATATTTTTATGGATTTCATTGCAGTAGTACGATCGTTTGGCGACCTTGATAATACTTTTAAGCATTCTTCGGTAGTCACTGAAGACTTTATAGAGCAATACATTACCCTCAGGGTTTCTATTTGTTACAGTGCTTGACCAGTCTCTACAGAGTTCATGTTTTCTTTCAACTGAGACAATGATTCCATCGGTAATCCACGGGTTGAGTTTGGGAGTCCTTTTGGTAACTTTTGGTACATCAAGCTTACAGTGTTTATCAAGTGTTTCATTGAAGCAGTCCAAGAACTCATTGAAGTTTACCGAGGGAGTCAAGTCATTCACCTTCACCTCGAGTTCATTAACAAAATTAGTGAGTTTGGAACTTGAATAATCATAGTAGCGAACATGTTTAAGTTTTTCAGTACTGTTTTCGGTAGGAATTGACGTGAAGGTGAATATAAAGGCATGGTCACCAATCCTATCATTCAATACACCGGAGAGAAGTACATGATCTATCTCTGATGTGAGGATATTGTCAATACATGAGTTTTTACAGTTAGGACGGAAGTGGGTAGCAAGTGATATAGTAGGATACATATTGTTACGAAGTAACGTGTCCTCAAATAACTGGCTGGAGGTTTGTACATTGAGGAGGTTAGAGTTAAAATCGCCAAGAATATGGAACTTTTTACCAGCCAACTGCTTAGATATATCCTCAAGAGTTTGACAAAAGGTCTCACTACAGCCATTTGGAGGACGATAAGCAACCCCATATGTCAGTTTATCACCCGAGCTAAGAGTAATTTCAACAAATAAGCACTCAATATCTTTTGTACAGTGAGATAGATTTTCGATTACTACAGCATTCAGGCGATCAGAGACATATAAGGATACTCCTGTTCCTTTTTTCTTATCAGGGAATGGTACTTGACAAAATGTTGTATAGGAGGGGATTTGGTATAAGCCTTGTTGGCTTGGATCGATGTTGGTCTCAGCCAATCCAATGACATCAAAATTACACGGGAGGGTCTTATGTTCTATTAAAAAGCTGTCAAAATTACTAGCAAACCCATCTATATTGCAAAACAGAGCGGGCAGATAAGCAGAATTTTTATTTTTCTCAGGAAAAAGTTTGCTGATTGAGTTTGCTAGTTCTTGTTTTGTGTAACGCTTACAGTCTTCAAGTATTGAAGAGAATTTAGCTATGGTGACATCTTCCTGGTTGTTTGTATCATAGAATTTATCTGAATCATCATATCTTTGGCTGCTTGGAAATGGGCAATACCTATCTTCTATTGTACTACAGCAATCACTACACATCCATAGACCGTTTTTGCTTGTAAATTTCGCGGATCTGAAGCACTTAGTATGAACAACTTTGCTGCAATTTTCACATTCTAAGAGTGGCTGGCCAATATTAATGTATTTACTACAGGGGTCGCACACATCTTTAATAAGTTTCATAATCATGATAAACTAAGTGGGATAAACTCCCACTGGTCGGGTGGCCTTCCTTTGTCTTACTCTCTCCTGTCTCTCCCTCACATACACCCACTGTTTCAGACATCTCACAAATTTAGCAATACCAAGCTCTCCGAGATGGATTTCATCACCATTTCTCGTGAGTTTCATAGCAAGCAACCCTTTACCGTCGAAAAAGTGGCCAACACCAAGGTGCCATACATTCTGGTTAAAGCTAGAGTACAACATTTCATCAACCAAGCTGTTGAATGCCATAATGTTTTTATTCATCTTAGGGAGTCTAGACGGTAAAACTGCTGTGACAAACAACTTCGCCTTAGGGCACAGTTTCTGGATCTGCTGGATTTTCAGGTGGAGAATGTCTACCAGCTGGTGTTTATCACCAGGTGACTGCACATTTTCAACTCGTAGATCGTTGGTCCCACAAACTAAGATGACGTTGCTATAACCAATGCAGAGCTTAGGGTCTATTGCACTGACCTTGTTGGCTTTAACACGTTCACTTGGGAAGGACTGTCCAAGGGTTCCAGTACCGACACCGAACTTGATGGGCTTGGTGTTAGAGTCGCCCATGATGATGCAGCTCCGGCTAAACTGTTTGCTCACAGTTCTCAGTGTGATGGAGAACCTTCCTGTCTGCACAGAAGACTGAGTTTCAGCAGGACCTGTTTCATCAATACCGTGACGATACCAGGCTTGTGACGATCGTGTCATCACATACACTGAGTTAGATTCTGGACTCACACTATGAACATACTCAGTTGAGGCTTCGTTTCCGGTCTCATGGATGCACTTAAAGCACACCTTCCTGACGTCGCCTATGCTGATAGTAGCAATTTCTGAGTTAGCAATAATCTCAGACTCATCGTCAGAGTGAAAAGGGAGCTTGCTACCAGTGGTGGTATCAACTGAGGGAGGGTAGTAGTTTATTAGGATGGAGTTGGGCTTATGGGTCAGTCTGCACTTTGATGTAACTGCGTCTATGGCTGAGGCAAGGGGTGCTGGGATTGTGGGGGATAGGGGTGGGTCTGAATCACCAGTATAAGAGTAGTCTTCCCCAAACTTGAGGACCTGTCTTCCATTCTTCGGGATGAACTTATTACTAGCTTGGCTCTCCAGGAGAAACTCTGTAACTTCTTTGAGGATCTCAGCACTTAGCACATCGACCAGGTAATCACACACTGGAGGTTCTGTGCATTTAGGGAGGGGGATTTCTGTAGCAGGTGGTGCTTCAGATGGACTTCTGGACTGCTGAAATTCATGAATCTCTTGACTCAGCTTCTTCAGTCTTGTCTCCAGGGATACAATCTCCACAGTAGGCATACTGTTACCAACAGCATTAGAAATAGCATCTGATATAGCCTGTATGTTCTGGCTGTAGTCTACAGAGCTCTTTAGGTTGTTGTCCATCTTGGCTGACATGCTGGAGCCTGGTCTGGGGAATGATGTATCGAAACACCATGGACATAGCCATTCTGAGAGAATAATATTCAGAGAAGCTTCAAGAGGTGTATCGTGCTGAATGTTGTTAGCACCCTTGAGATTGCAACAGGAAGCATGCCAGTGCTGAAAACATCTGGTACACTTGAACTTCCATTCCTTACCATCTGATGTTGATCGGCAAGGACAATCACTCTTTGAAGCCCGTTGTTTTACTGTAGGTTTATCCTGGATTTCAAGTTCTTCAGCAGACTCTTCAGCACGGGAGAATGGAGGAAAGGACTTGTACAGAGGGCTCATTGGACTTCTGGGGCTCTCTCTGAGGTTCGATGATTCTAAAGCTGATATCAGGTTTGGGCTGATCTTTTCAATAACCAGATTACCTGGAGGTTTAAGAACAGATGTCTCTGGTTGTTCTTGGGGTGACTTTGATGGGCGTTTACCCAGCACAGCTTTCTGGGCCATTGCGCTAGGGCTGTTCCTGCGCAGGGCTTTGTTGTCTGCTAGAGGTTTCTTCTTTTGGGAGGTAGCTCCTCTGCCGGATGGTGACATGCTAGCTCTGGATCCTGGGTTGGTAGGAGGAGGAGTGTGTCTAGGGGAACGCCTTTGGGTACTAGCACTTGAGGTAGTAGCCATGATGATATGATATCAGAGATATGTCCGGAGTCCAGGGGGCCAGCTTGGACAGACCCCTGCACCTGAAAGGAGAAGAGCATCAGCCGGTTCATTGTGAGTGATATGAGGTGGGTTAAGTGGGAATATGATTGAATAGAATTTTTTCAAGAACTTTCAAAAGAGTGATTGAAGTATTCAAAAATATATAAATCATTCAAAGGTCAGACACACTAACAACAACAGGACAAACTGGGTTTGGATGGGGTGATTTGGTTTGAAATTGTTAAGTGTGTAGGTAAAATTGTTTGAGCAGAATTTTCAGAGTAAAAATAAATAAACAAAAAATTTGTTGAGACAGGTATTCAGAGAATGCCTATCTTGGAATACTTCAACACTACTATATATTGTGGAACAGGTCCAGAAAAGAATCACACTGTCATTTCTGGATACTCAAGCACATCTGTGGCTTCGGTTAATGTATGGCCTGCGTGAACATGAACGTAAGTTAGTAAGTAAGTGGTATGTACATGTTTCCACATTGTCTGCATTCTCTAGTGTTCTGAAGTGGCCCTTACAGGATACACAATCCTTCAACAGGACCACATCAATAAACTCTTAATGACTCTATTTTGCAGAGCAGACCCAATAGAGACAGTAAATTATCCCAGGTATTGCTGTTTCACGGAGGGGCCTAACTACAGTCTACAAAATTACCACTATACCACCACTGTATGAAATTGTGAGGCATCTAGTTCATGAATGAAATAGATGCCTCACGGTGTATTTGGATGTCATCTTGATCTTGTAGTTGTATGATGATCAAAAATATTTCTTTATAATATATCATAAGGTTTATTAACACAATTTTATTAATAGATATGGCATGGACTTAGATTTGGAAGGTCTATATGAAGATGATGGAGAAGAATATGATACCATTCCATGCCAAGTAAGCATTATAGTTGTAAATGTTGCGGTTTCTCAAAATTTTGATTATCGAGTCACCTAAGAAACCCCAGACCCATGACCATCTTTTTACTACCTATTTAACTACAATGATAGATTGAACATGAAAATAATCAAATTAAAGAAAATATAACTTTTCAGCTCACCTCATCAGTTAGTTCAGATCAACATCATCACAGTGCCCCTTCGCTTCAAAAGCTTCCACCCCAGGACAGATACCGAATCCATAATGTAAACAGCACACCAAACCTTGAAAATGATGTCAACCTAGGCAATACAGATTTAGACCCTAGAAGACCTTTTCAGAATGGCTCTGAAACGCTTGATGGTACCAGGGTAACATTTGCTCAAAACTTTGGAGAAGAAATTTACATGAATACATCCTTACATGCAGAACAAAAATTCACAACCCCACATTATCCGGTTAAATATGTTTCTGAAAGACAGGCCATCAATCGCCCATTATCTGTCACTTTCAAAGATGACGAAACAAATAGACCCTCACCTGAAGAATACTACATGGTGCCCCCAACTGTGAGTGGTGATGCAAATTCTAATGATCACTCAACAAAAATTATTGCACCAGACCAACTCTCTCATGGGACTGAGGAGTACTCCCCAGGATTGTATGATGCACCAACACCCTTAGACATCAACCATGCAACTCTCCCCCCATTACCACCTTCTGCCAATGATCCTCTAATCTTTTATCATCAGAATTCTGTTATCAACGGTATTGCCCACAGTGAGGCTGCTATTGCTCACAGTGAGACTCAGGAATGTTTCTATGAAGGAATAAATGATGTTGATACTGATTGTCTCTATGAAGGCATTCCCCATGACGAGGATGAGGAGAACTTTTATGAGGGTGTTGGATCTCCAATGAATGATTTTTATGAAGGTATAGGAGATAATGATGAAAATGATTTTTATGAGGGTATAGGAGATGATGATGATGATGATGACAATGATATTTATGAGGGTATCCCGGATAATAATGATGTCTTCTATGAAGGATTGGGGTCGCCTCAGGAATTTAATGACATTAAAGAGGACGACTCCTTATTGAATCTCATTCAATCTCTTACCAAGTCAGATACACCGTATGTTCCACCAAAACCACCACCTGTCCCCATGAGAAACCCCTCCAAAACATTTACACCTCTACCTGATATACCACAGAATAAAGAACTTGGTTCTTCATCTTTTGTTTTTGCCAAAAAGAAGAATAAGGGAACGGTAAAAAAATCACCATCTTTACATGGGCTGACCTTCAATTATTCTCCTGTGCCTCAAGAGTCCATCATATCTAAATCAAAGTCACTGGCTGACATGACCAGTTCCTACAGATCTTCTACAAGTCCCAAGTTTGCGTCAGTAACAAGTTTGTCCAGTGATGGTTTGTATGATGGTATTGAAATGCTTTCTGAAGATGATGAGGAACTTGCTAAAGATCATGATCCGGAGCAGGAGTCTCCTGAGAGTGAATATAGCGGGCGGCGGTCATATTCTGTTGCTGTTAAGGTAAGTCAACCTCCCTGTTATCATTAGTTCCCTCTTGAAATTTTGATAATAGGTAAAAATTTAAGCTCTTGATATACTTCTGTAATGAGTATTTACTATATTTTATTTTTTTATTATATTCGTGTATAAATTAATGTGCTCAGAAATCTGTGAAGAAAACAAAGATAAAGACTGCGCAGCAATTCGAACATTTGAAGGAGACTTTCACACTTTCTATTAAAGAACGAAAATCTAAGTGGAAGGAAAGCAAAGCCAGGCTTGATTTGAAAGTTGCTCTGAAAGGAACAAAGTAAGTAACTGCTCCAGTTTCGAGGTGAAATTTCTTTATTGATAAAAAGTGTAATAATTTTTGATATTGTGACCGTCAGGCATATGCACTGTTACAATCCAACATTATACTGTAATTATGGCTAAGAATTAATATCGCTTGATGTAGTAACAAATATATGAAAATATTCACCCCTCATTGAAAGAATAAATGATAATGATGAATATCAATTTTCAAATTCCGCCGCCCAATGCAGTGACTTCTGGGCACTTTGTTAACTGATGAATGATAATATTCTGTGTTGATTAAGACTTTATTTGACACCCCCCCCGCACCCCTGCATTGATTATGTCAGAATTAGTACAGTTACGAAATTAATTAAGAAATTGATTACCTTATAAAATCAGACCTTTTTCCTAATTTCAATATTTTACAGACCAACTTCCAACTATCACAAATTAAAAGTTTAAACTTTCTCCAGAACGAAAGCAAGTGAACTAGCTGTAAACACAGAGTCCATCTACAATTCCGGTATTGCTGCAATACAAAGACGAACCAGCAGCAAGTCTGGTAAAGGTAGACAGAGGAGTAAGACCCTGCCTCCCGCTGACACCGTTAGTCTGACGTCTTTGTTGAGTTTTTGTCGATTTGTGAAATATGGAAAGTTTTAAAGTTTCGCCTTATAAGGCGTTGATTTTGAGATTAATGTCTACGTTTTAGTGTTCCAGAGTTCACTCTGGTTGCACATTGCTAATTTAAAGTGGCAAAAGATAAACAGTTTAAAGGTTTAAGTGGTCAGAATTATCGGTATTCGTGGTGGTAATCAGTGGTTGGGAGTAGTGTTCATTACACTATATCGGTGGTTGGGAGTAGTGTTCATTACACTATATCGGTGGTTGGGAGTAGTGTTCATTACACTATATCGGTGGTTGGGAGTAGTGTTCATTACACTATATCGGTGGTTGGGAGTAGTGTTCATTACACTATATCGGTGGTTGGGAGTAGTGTTCATTACACTATATCGGTGGTTGGGAGTAGTGTTCATTACACTATATTGGTGGTTGGGAGTAGTGTTCATTACACTATATCGGTGGTTGGGAGTAGTGTTCATTACACTATATCGGTGGTTGGGAGTAGTGTTCATTACACTATATCGGTGGTTGGGAGTAGTGTTCATTGCACTATATTATCGTGGGTATAAACTAGCAATAAACATGATAATATCACACAAGCAGTTCGGTAATGGGATCGTAATCTAAAGTCTCGTGACAAACCCAAACTAAATCACGTGTAAATTCAACATCATGTGACCTACAACAGATCAATATCTCGTGTTTATAACCGATATCACGTGACCTACAACTAGCTACAGATCAATATCACGTGACCTTCAACAGATCAATATCTCGTGTTTAGAACTGATATCACGTGACCTACAACTAGCTACAGATCAATAGCTCGTGTTTAGAACTGATATCACGTGACCTACAACTAGCTACAGATCAATATCTCGTGTTTAGAACTGATATCACGTGACCTACAACTAGTTACAGATCAATATCTCGTGTTTAGAACTGATATCACGTGACCTACAACTAGTTACAGATCAATATCTCGTGTTTAGAACTGATATCACACCACTATGCCAGCATACCTCGCTACTTACACTGTAAGTTCAGCACCTATCACGTGCACACTCCAACACATGTTTATCAGTACAAGTGTCACTCTAAACCATGATACGTGTGTTTTATCAGTCCTTGCTTGTCGCATCATGTTTCAGAACAGTGCTGTTTTCCTTCTCCTGCTTACCATTACCTGTGTTTGTATCGTTTTTAACTTTAGGTACATTCGCCCGAATGGCCGATCTAAGGCGCTAATAGCCATACTTGTGATATTCGTGTTTATTTCACATTAAGGGTGGAGTGGGGGTATAAAGCCATAGTAGTACGGGATCATCGACATTCGACAGTTTGAGGAGTGGTTTTAATCGAGGCATTTGCACTGTCCGTTTGATAATCAGCAGTTTGGGTTTCTTTAAAGTCTGATTTTTGACGAATAAGCACCCGCGTCGCGCAATTCCGCATTGATTTGTTTTATGGTCGAGGTTAGACAATTTCACGATGGAGTTTTGACTGGTTTATGACTGAGTTTTAATTATATAACATACGAGCGTACACAATTAATGATGAGTTAATCAGATTCAATATCATAACTTAAACCATCATAACCTACATTAGTTGATAACGTTTTGAATGAACAGTATATAAAGTATAAACACGACCACTTTAAAGAATAAAGTATATGAACTACCTAACTTAAAGAATGAATCTTTGCTGACTTGGTATGTTTAATGGAGTATATGCTGTCACTTTTCTTGTTGTTGAGTTTCAGGTAGTTCTCACTCATCCATGATTTGATGTGCTCGAAACATTCTTTCAATTTGCTCTTCATAGATTCAATGTCCATGTCTTAGGATCAAATGAGAAGTATATCTGAGTATCATCAGCATATAGATGGATTTGGAGACCATGCATACTTGCTACTACAACTACCCAACTTAAAGAATAAAGGTTCACTAGTATATGAACTACCTAACTTAAAGAATAAAGGTTCACTAGTATATGAACTACCTGACTTAAAGAATAAAGGTTCACTAGTATATGAACTACCTGACTTAAAGAATAAAGGTTCACAAGTATATGAACTACCTAACTTAAAGAATAAAGGTTCACTAGTATAATTCTACCTAACTTAAAGAATAAAGGTTCACAAGTATATGAACTACCTAACTTAAAGAATAAAGGTTCACTAGTATATGAACTACCTAACTTAAAGAATAAATGTTCACTAGTATATGAACTACCTAACTTAAAGAATAAATGTTCACTAGTATATGAACTACCTAACTTAAAGAATAAAGGTTCACTAGTATATGAATTACCTAACTTAAAGAATAAATGTTCACTAGTATACGAACTACCTAACTTAAAGAATAAAGGTTCACTAGTATATGAACTACCTAACTTAAAGAATAAATGTTCATTAGTATATGAACTACCTAACTTAAAGAATAAAGGTTCACTAGTATATGAACTACCTGACTTAAAGAATAAAGGTTCACAAGTATATGAACTACCTAACTTAAAGAATAAAGGTTCACTAGTATAATTCTACCTAACTTAAAGAATAAAGGTTCACAAGTATATGAACTACCTAACTTAAAGAATAAAGGTTCACTAGTATATGAACTACCTAACTTAAAGAATAAATGTTCACTAGTATATGAACTACCTAACTTAAAGAATAAATGTTCACTAGTATATGAACTACCTAACTTAAAGAATAAAGGTTCACTAGTATATGAATTACCTAACTTAAAGAATAAATGTTCACTAGTATACGAACTACCTAACTTAAAGAATAAATGTTCATTAGTATATATGAACTACGTAACTTAAAGAATAAATGTTCATTAGTATATGAACTACCTGACCTGGGGTAAGCACTCCCTGCAAGGGTTGCTCAGATCACGGTCTACTGGAGCGACAGATAAACAGGCTCTAACTGAAGCCTGGGATGAGAATTACAGAACTTTCTCTTACCCTGTCACTAATAAGGTGCTGGAAAGTGGTGATATGTATCTGTTTAACCCTAAAGTTGTCTATCTTGATGTTTACCCTAATGTTTACCCTAATGTCTACCCTAATGTCTACCCTAATGTCTACCTTAATGTCTACCCTAATGTTACCCTAATGTCTAGCCCATAGTGATCGGACTTCTTGGATATTATCTATTTAATCTAGGTATTTGACAATGTAATAATTTCTCGACACACCATATCTTATCTGACATCATCTTTAAAATGAAACTCTGCCACCCTCAGGAGCGTAACAAGATGTCAGACGGGAGTATAGAACTAGAGGAGACATTCCACAGTCCTGATGACTTCAAGAGTATTCAACCTGCTGCTGGTGCTGCTGGTGGTAAACCCGCGGTGAGTAAAATTCTTTATTATCGTGTACTGAGATATTTTGTTATATTTTGGGTTGAACACTTTGTGTGTAGTTTGCGTACATATTATGTCAATTATGTAGAGTTTAAGAAAGTTTAGGTGTAGTTTGTGAATTGTGTCGTTGTTTTGTGAAGGCTCTAATGATAATGTGAAATGGTTGACGGAGATTTCTTTGTAGCCGGCGTTAAGCTAAACTAAGTGTTGTTATGATATTAAATTATCACACTAAACAGTGTACATGCGTGGGTGAGAAAGTTAAGTTCCGATTAGAATCGAGTCTAGGAGCTTCGAGAATCCATGTTTTACAGCAAAGTTTGTTAAAAAGTTAAATATGAGTGTCGACTTGCTTGAGAGAGTGTACGGCGAGTGTTTAGTTTCAAGTATATAATTCGTGTAGACTGTAGAGTGTGGGAGGTATTGTAACTTGTGTATCAAGTTTCTATGGGTGAGAGGGTAAAACTTGTGTTGCAATCCAAAGTCTTTGAGATTTGAGAGCAATAGGCATATAGGCATATTTTATGCACGTAGGCATATCTATCTTATAGCAAGTAAAAACTGCGGAAACTCACTATAAAGGGTTGTGTTTGTTTTGATAGTGAGGGTAAAGTTGGTATGCAACTTGTTAATCAATGTTAGTAAAGTATTCCTAAACTAGATGCGAAGTTTGTGTAAAATGTGGAAACTAAGATGTTTGTGTAACTTGCAGAATTGGGGTACGTGAAAAAGGTCACGTGTAAATAATGCAAATGTGTATCTCAGGAAATCTCAATTCTAGCAATTTTCAGCATCCAAAAAGGCGACCATTTTCGCCATATCAGATGTAAAAATCCGATGGCACCAACGGCCGACAGTGATGATCCTCTCAGTAAATGTCTTGCAGCAGTGTACATTGTTTACATTTCTGACTTTACTTAGTATTATAGGTGTTTTGGTAATTGGGCTAAATTAAATGAGAAACAACACTGATATCATTAGATACATTAGACGAGTGTAAAACGTGTACCAATGTACTCAACACACAACCTGGTACCCGGTATAGTGCAATACAGTATAATATCCATTGTCCGTGTATTTTGTTTACGAATCAGCGTGAAGTTAAAGGTTGTTAAAGGTTTTTAAGGGTTGTTAAGGGTTGTTAATTAACAGTGTGTTTGTGTAAGGTTGGCAGGTGCACCGTGCACACCATGCTCGTATCCTACATACCACCGCACAGTGGGGACAGTGTCTCGTATACTGTACTGTGTAAAACCGTGCCTCTGTAGCGTAGCCTTGCTAGTTGCTACCCTCTCGCTTGGTTTATGTTCACCTTTCCACCTATCAGTATTATATTTGTCAATCAGCTTTGTCCCCTGTTAAGTAAGGTGATTGTGCCCATTTATTTCTGTCTCACAGATTGAAACCTGATCTGTGTATTCAGTATCGGTACTTGAGAACGGTAAGGACTAAGGTAGCTCTGCGACCTGTAACCTGGCTACGATTATCTGACCAATAATGTGCTCTGAAGCTCACTACCTGCTCAGTGTCTTCCCACGTACTTTGTTTTGATAATCCTCTTTCAGGATAGGCATCAGTTTAATCTACATTATACACAATATTATAACTGTTTTAAGACATCCTTAAAAAAGTATGATGTAATCCGATAAATTCGATCTGTAATTTGGCTCACTTCTGCTCCGTGAGGGAGCCTGTTGGAGTACAATATTCGTCTTACTGCTGACTACTAAGTACTGCTCCTTGACTTATCTATATTTAGCACTGACCTGTCATTTCAATTTTCTGTCCGCCATCTGTTCAGGTGTGAAATGAGAAATATAACTCCTTGTTTTCGTAAATATGTAATATTCAGTAATTATTACGGTGATTATAGCTCACTTTTCGAGAAGTTTTTGCAAATTTATTGATACAAAACAAATTATATACCAATCAAAGAGAAACAGGAAAATGAAACCGAACCCCATGAAACTCCCGAAGAAATGGAAAGATAAATTTACATCTAAAATCAGAAGATCAAAATCTTGTGAAGATGTCGAATCTCTTGAATCGTCTGTAAGTTATTGAACCTAAACATACATATTGACTCGTTTACTCTATAATAATTTTAATAATTTTAGAAGTAATTTACTTCCTCAAAGTATTCTGCGAAGTGCCAATTTGAAATCGAGGAATTTGAATTTCTTAGTACTCAAGATGTGACAAGTATTGAAGCTCTTTTCCTAACAATAAATTTTCTTCACTAACACAAATCAAACAACCATTTTATATGCTCATTGTTCTCTTTACCTTCGTACACCGTTTTTCTTAGTTCATTAATTGCTTCACCTGCCAGCTGCCTCTTTTAATGTATTCGGATAATAATTGGCAAACTCCTTCTTGTCACCATAACACTCTCCTCTATCATTCAACTAAGGTAAATACTCAAAACTGATCGAGCTTGAACTCAGTGTTCCCTAAAATTCTTGACAATCCCTGCAACTAAAACTAAAAAAGCGACAACCCCTGCTATTGATAGGAAAGTAACCAGCCCTGTCGACAGTTTAGTAAGATCCGGAGTATACGGACAGCTCCCTGGTGTTTCAATCTCACAGAACTCTAGGAGCCTGTACAGTTTGTTAGGGTAGAGGTGGAGGACTTTGGAGAGGTCGGAGGTGTAGTTGGAGAGGTTCCTCCAAGAGGTGAGACAACATCCGTATTCTTCTGAGGGACAAACTGTGTTAACTATAACACTCTTTAGTGGGACAAAAAGTGTACTTAATGAATAAAGTGTTAACTATAACTTTATACACACTTACTGCACACATTAGTATTCAGGCATGTATTTTCAAATGCTAGTTTCAACTGTACATTAATTATCTAGTAGTTTTCTGGATGTCTCAAAAGCGCATTTTAAGTTTATAATTGTAAACATTTTTGACCCATATTAAAAGGAAGCATGGTTTCCCAAGTTGACTGATGAGTAATAGTTGTGCCTAATATGTTACTCACCTTTCTTTCTCTGTAAGAATAACTTGCACTGTGGTAAACAGAAAGCAGGAAGTATCGTATCGTTTGTGTTCACATCACGTATTAAACATCTCTCTCTTATTGTCTCTTCCATCTTTATTCTCCCTACAAGTACTTAGTTAGGATCTACCCAGAGGAGTAAACTGTAAACTTACTTTTCTTAAACTGACTCCGTGCCAGATACAAAAGAGCCACTCCAGAAATTTAGAATAGTTCCTTTGATCAGTGTGATGGTCAGCTTTGTCTAAGATTCAATACTCGTAACTTGTAATGAGTGATTAATACCCACACTTAGTATGCAAGAGCTGCCCTGTAATGGCCCGGTGATTGTCGATGATTGAATGTAATTCGCAAAATTGTCCTGTAATTTGTCCCTTGTAAGTACCTGTCAGTATATTATAAGCCTCGTACTTCACATGACATCACTTCTGTTTACAATTCAATTTATTTCTATTTTCGTAAATTATAATTAGAGCGATAAACCACTGATCATGTTGTAATGATACATTCAACATGTAATAATAATATGTAATGGTCATTTTGGAGTGATACGAACGTGAGACTGAAAGAATTTTGAAAGATATTTGAATTATGTACCTGTCAGCAGATACAAAGGAGCCACTGGAGTAATTTAATGACGTTATCTCTAAATTGCTGGAATAGCTTCTATTTGATTCACATGATCACTGATTTAGCACGTCAATTCGCACTATTTGAACTATGTACCTGTCAGTAAGTCAGCACTATTTGAACTATGTACCTGTCAGTAAGTCAGCACTATTTGAACTATGTACCTGTCAGTAGGTCAGCACTATTTGAACTATGTACCTGTCAGTAAGTCAGCACTATTTGAACTATGTACCTGTCAGTAGGTCAGCACTATTTGAACTATGTACCTGTCAGTAGGTCAGCACTATTTGAACTATGTACCTGTCAGTAGGTCAGCACTATTTGAACTATGTACCTGTCAGTAGGTCAGCACTATTTGAACTATGTACCTGTCAGTAGGTCAGCACTATTTGAACTATGTACCTGTCAGTAGGTCAGCACTATTTAAACTATGTACCTGTCAGTAGGTCAGCACTATTTGAACTATGTACCTGTCAGTAGGTCAGCACTATTTGAACTATGTACCTGTCAGTAGGTCAGCACTATTTAAACTATGTACCTGTCAGTAGGTCAGCACTATTTGAACTATGTACCTGTCAGTAAGTCAGCACTATTTGAACTATGTACCTGTCAGTAGGTCAGCACTATTTAAACTATGTACCTGTCAGTAGGTCAGCACTATTTGAACTATGTACCTGTCAGTAGGTCAGCACTATTTGAACTATGTACCTGTCAGTAAGTCAGCACTATTTGAACTATGTACCTGTCAGTAGGTCAGCACTATTTGAACTATGTACCTGTCAGTAGGTCAGCACTATTTGAACTATGTACCTGTCAGTAGGTCAGCACTATTTGAACTATGTACCTGTCAGTAGGTCAGCACTATTTGGACACCTTCAACAAGACGTTGTCTCACGTTTTGACTTTTTCTAAATTGATTTTTAGGGTCTTATATAGTATATTGGCTATGATAGACTCGATTGATTGGTTGCAGAATCTTCATAGCTTTATGACTATGAAATCAAAATCATGCTATCACATAAATTGACAGAGCTAGACCACGTTTAAGTCCAATGATACAAATATCACATTTTCTGAGATGTGATAATGATACAAATGGGTCTGGAGAGACCGAATGTTATCAGTTTTTTATGAAAATTTCTTAACATGATGCCTGTCTCCTAAGGAAGCAGTGTACAAAAGGAAATCGTTATTTAGGCTCATTATGATACAAATATCACACATTTTCGTTTCAAAATTGTCCGTTTTATGATGTGATTATTGAATCCCCTTGACCTCTTTTTTCTGTTTCTTTGAACTCAAACTGTACCAGAGGCAATTCCAAACAGAATTAGTAAAAAGTATGATACAAAAATCAACCTCCCGTTAGATGTACTACAATTATCACATTGTATTTTAAAACAACGAAATATAGCTATTTTTCGGGTCCAGTTCTCTGGGTGGCTGTTTGAAGGGTACATAATTCATTAATAAAGATGAAACTTCATTCACACCTATAAAAATGGTAACTCAGTATGGATACAAGGATGAAAAATTGTTCCAACCACTTGAAGGATACAAATATCACATTTTTTGTGAACCAAATTTTACAAGTGTAACATTTGTGATAAATGTATCAATATGGGTCTATAGAACGAGATTCTTTTTGATACATGTACAATAAACATTATTACTCCCTGAACATCTTACACAGCACATCTAGGAACCAAAATAGGATACGAATATCACAATTTCAATTTAAATTATTTTTTATTATTTTTAATTTTTTTTAATCAAGTGATATTTGTATCTGAAAAGTGCTTATTTAATGAAATGCCTATTACTTATTGACTATGTTTAATAATATTGGATGAATTGATCTTCAAAAACAACATTCACACATTATTGACATGGATTCGTGAAAAATATTGAATTTAATGTGATATTTGTATCATTTACAGGTCATTTATTGAATGTCAATCATTACAACATTATTTTACAGCCTAAAGCACCTTGAATAGCATTTAAAAAATCAAAATAGTCCTCACTGGTTGTCATTATAGCCTACCCTAAGTGATGTGTGATAATCGTACCATATTTCGTACATTTAACGATTAATCGCGGTACATATAACACCCACATGCTTCAGAAAGGTTTGATGGTCACATCTATCACGATAACTCACTCAAATTATGTAAATTCGATTTTACACAGCCATAAACAAGTTTCCCTGTGATATTCTTATCATAAAGTGTACAAATAACAAATTTAGCTGTTTCATGTTGATGAATGAGTGATTATTGTATCCTTGTTGACCAAACTACAAATTTTTGTGGTAATTGTTTTAAAATTGGCCGAGTAATAACTATCACATGGTTTGGCAGTCAAAATTCGAGCATGTGGCAGTCAAAACGTGAGACAACGTCTTGTTGAAGATGTCCATTTGAACTATGTACCTGTCAGTAGGTCAGCACTATTTGAACTATGTACCTGTCAGTAGGTCAGCACTATTTGAACTATGTACCTGTCAGTAAGTCAGCACTATTTGAACTATGTACCTGTCAGTAGGTCAGCACTATTTGAACTATGTACCTGTCAGTAGGTCAGCACTATTTGAACTATGTACCTGTCAGTAAGTCAGCACTATTTGAACTATGTACCTGTCAGTAGGTCAGCACTATTTGAACTATGTACCTGTCAGTAGGTCAGCACTATTTGAACTATGTACCTGTCAGTAGGTCAGCACTATTTGAACTATGTACCTGTCAGTAAGTCAGCACTATTTGAACTATGTACCTGTCAGTAGGTCAGCACTATTTGAACTATGTACCTGTCAGTAGGTCAGCACTATTTGAACTATGTACCTGTCAGTAAGTCAGCACTATTTGAACTATGTACCTGTCAGTAGGTCCGGTCAGCACTATTAAATTTGAACTATGTACCTGTCAGTAGGTCAGCACTATTTGAACTATGTACCTGTCAGTAAGTCAGCCTCATACTTCATGCAGCTGTCTCCAGCAGGATTAGTATGACAAAGTAGAGACGAAACTTCCCGTAACATGTCACTGAACCTCTCGTTCGTCATGCCTGGGAAAAACTTCTGCACCTGTAATATGAGATGGTATCTAGGAGGATTATATGTGTCTTTAGTGCATTGTGGAGATGTTTAGTTTTAGTGAATGATTAGTTTTAAACTAATTACAACACTACAAATCTGTTACATTTATTGAGGACGTTACAGAAGGAATTGATTTAATGTAGTTGGAGGAGTCCTCACTCTCCTCACGTCCATAAATAGAGTTTTCTTTGTATCATATATAACCAAACTTCAGAGGCACTTGAAAGTAATTTTTCTGAGTGATCATTATGATACATTATTTGCTGGGATATCTCGTACAGAGATTGGCAAGGCAGGTTCAGTATTATATATATCAAACTTGCAATGCTACTACAATAAGCAGCAGTTTTAATGTCATCATCTTAATATTTTTTAGGGGAACATGACATCAATTTTATTTATATATAAAAATCAAAATTACGTTCAAAATTGGCAAAATAGTATTTTGCTAACTTGACTTGAAAAAAGTCGTACATTTAAGTTTAACAACACTATTTAATTTATCATGAATTAAAGATCTTGGTGGGTTTCAAGTAAGGTACAGAGGATTTACATATTATTTTAACTCATTACAGTGAAACCTCCACAGGCTTTCTCGGGAGAAAAGAACAATCCCGGTATATAGAAGTATAATCTTATCTAACAAAACTGCATCTCAATTATTTAATTCGTAAGTAAACTGTTTCTCCTAAGCTATAATTTTTGACGATTTATCATAAACTTACACATCTTTTAAAAACAAATTTTCAATGAGCTTTGAATAAATGCTGACAAAACTGCATGCAAAAATGTCAGATCTACCATACATGCTCTTTGCGGTGACTTGCCTACATGACAAGAATAATAAATGTATAAGATTACGAAATTTTATGACGGTTTATAAAATTACGAACAGTTCCGATCCATTTTTATCTTCAATTTGCAGGGGTATGGCGAAAGTATTGCTGGTAAATTCCCCTAAGGATTCTCTTCAAAATAGTTCTCACTGGATTTACCTTTCAGTGAATTCTATACATTCAGCACTATTAGAACACAAGTTCCTCCTTCGAATCTGAGATCTTTTATTACATTTTCAAAGTGACAAACACGGATAACAAAACACCTTTCTCCACAGATCGTCCCCAAAAACCACACCAACAATGATGCAAATAAAGAAAATACCAGTAGGTATGAACACGCCCATGTACGCTTTAGCGAGTGAATAATCCATCCAGAGGTAAAAGTTAGTTTCATGTCCCCAGCACTCAAAATAGGTTTTATCCTCAAGAAAACTGTAAAACTTGTTCCAAGTACTCTGAACTTGTGCCTCGTTGCTTGAGTAATCATCCAAACAGACCGGCACGATCAGACATCCCGCCCTTACCTCAATGAACCCATAGTGAAACGTGCCTTCAGTTGCATTCTCCGCGCTACCGTTCCTGTAGAAAACTCCTCGTGCGTTAATACAAGGATAGAAGTTAAAGCAGGTCTCATCTTCCTCATCAGTGCCACAGTCACATCTTATCAGAGATACGTTCTTCACGTCAACATTCCGGGTTGTTAGCCCGCAGATTCCTTTCTCAAACTTTGCGCCGTGGAAGTTTGGGCGCGATATTGCTAGCCCACAAAAGAGTAGTGCTATGAGGGACCCTACTGCTGTAAATCCGAGAGCTATGTCTAATAATGATCGTCCCATTATGGTATTTCTTTGTGAAAGTTAATTTAGTTAAATCAAACAGCTTTACCAGTGGTTATTATTAATTACATTATTCAACATCGATCAATTAATTTCAATGTTTTTGTAGCATTTTTTTTTTCAATAAATCTATTATGTATATGGCTGAAACTAACGAAATTAACTTGAATTGTGTGGTCTAGGTAATGAGTCCTTCGGTATTTGACAACTTCAAAAAAATTGTATAAAAAGTTAGAAGCCGTTAAAACCATGTCAAAGAAGTACGACCGTAGACTAGTGCGGAATGCCGTTGACTAGTACGGAATGCCGTTGCCCTGGTAGCACTAAAACAACTAAAAGCAGACAATGTAAACTTCTTAGCTGTCAGGAGTAACGAGATGTAATTATATAGTATTCCTGACACGTGACATTGGTTATCCAATCAGCTTCCAGCAGATACTAATCAAGTCCTCGAACCAATGTCACGTGACAGATACGGTTCATCTCCCTACTATGAACCAAGTCTAGGAAACTACGTATATAATAATTGGAGTGATTAAAACTTGGGCGTTAGATGTCTGTTATTATAGACTAACACCCCAAAATATATATTATGAACTATGTTATATAGCCGTGTAAGAATTAAAGAGTATTCTCGAATTCTTTACTGTCATGTCTGCTAGAAGCTAAAAATATATGATAGCTACGTCAATATATATATTATGTGTATATTATGTGTATATATTATGTGTACTAGCAGGAACCCGTCTAACCCTAAAACGGTGTCAAGACTCAAGAGACTAAAACAATTATTACCTATTTAATTCGCGTTTTTGACACCACTTGGGGTACCAAATTTTGGGCTCTAAAACTCCTATTTCTTGGCCAATTTTTAATTTTTTCATAATGATTTGGAGGCCATTAAAGCATTTGACCCAGTCAAAAAAGTTTCAGTTGTATATTTTTTACGGTTTTTGCAGAAATTCGCGTTAAAGTTGATGCCGTGGTGTCAGTAAAATGGCACAGATAAATATATATATATCGTCTCGCTTTATATATAATAAGATATTATGACGTGCATTTGATTGGTAAAGGACGTCCAGCAAGCAAAGCGGGAACATACAAAAACCAGTTATTCTACACTGTTCCCGAACTTTCCATCACACTCTTTACGTGACTCATATCAGAGACAAAGGAATGTCTTCAGAAGATGTGATCACAGAAAAAATACCTGCTATTGAACAAATATATTATATCCAATATACAGAATACAGTAACATTGCAAGTACAACTTTAATTTAATGAGCTGTGTAATATTAAAATTCCTATAATGTTGAAAATATAATTTACATACATCCTTGTTCAGAGTTCATACGACTTGGTGGCGTTTTACTATTATATATTATACTAGAAAATCTTTGAATTGAAAGTTGAAACAACCCTGCTATCCAAAATGCACATATTCACTTTTCAAGTTAAAATTGAGTTGGATTAATCAAATTTGTCAGTAAATCATAAAATCACTAAGTTATAGATAAATCACCAAAGATCGATCCTCCAATATTCAAATCCGACCGAGTACAATTTGTACAATAATTATGAATGGCAAGTACCGATTCTTTTCATCTGTTATTGTTAGCGCCAGACGTGCATGAAGAAAAGTTAATCTCCTATCTGGTTCCATCATGGTATCAAATTTAACAGATTGTGTTGCGATATGGAGTAATGTACTTGCAAAATGCCAATTTTTAATGTGTTGTAACATTCGTTTGACTGTACGATTCTGTACCTCTCTTTTCTTTATTTCTTAGTCCCCCAATTACTGATAAAGTCGAATCCTACCGTAATTAATACTAACAGCTAAAACGTACAACAAGTACTTACGGGTAAGTTTGCTGTACAGTTGCGATAGGTATATGCTATTGTGTAGTTATAACAGTTGTCATTACATAGTTCCATCAGAGCGTCATACCGGTCCAGTGACCATGTTAGTATCTGCGATAGTAACCAATAGTAACCAATAAGCAACTAATGGTAACCAATAGTAACCAATAGTAACCAATAGTAACCAATAGTAACCAATAGTAACCAATAGTAACCAATAGTAACCAATAGTAACCAATAAGCAACTAATAATAACCATATGCATACTGCATAGTAACTGTAAAATAAAATATGAAACAAGCCGATGAAGGACGATATTATGGATGTAAAATAAAGTCCACCAACAAAAATGTGGGTGCTTGCTTAGCAGAACTCTCCTTAAATTGGGGTTGTGGGTGCTTGCTTAGCAGAACTCTCCTTAAATTGGGTTTTGTGGGTGCTTGCTTAGCAGAACTCTCCTTAAATTGGGGTTTGTGGGTGCTTGCTTAGCAGATCTCTCCTTAAATTGGGGTTGTGGGTGCTCGCTTAGCAGAACTCTCCTTAAATTGGGGTTTGTGGGTGCTTGCTTAGCAGAACTCTCCTTAAATTGGGGTTTGTGGGTGCTTACTGCTTGCTTAGCAGATCTCTCCTTAAATTGGGGTTGTGGGTGCTCGCTTAGCAGAACTCTCCTTAAATTGGGGTTGTGGGTGCTTGCTTAGCAGAACTCTCCTTAAATTGGGGTTTGTGGGTGCTTGCTTAGCAGATCTCTCCTTAAATTGGGGTTGTGGGTGCTCGCTTAGCAGAACTCTCCTTAAATTGGGGTTGTGGGTGCTTGCTTAGCAGAACTCTCCTTAAATTGGGGTTTGTGGGTGCTTACTGCTTGCTTAGCAGATCTCTCCTTAAATTGGGGTTGTGGGTGCTCGCTTAGCAGAACTCTCCTTAAATTGGGGTTGTGGGTGCTTGCTTAGCAGAACTCTCCTTAAATTGGGGTTTGTGGGTGCTTACTGCTTGCTTAGCAGATCTCTCCTTAAATTGGGGTTGTGGGTGCTTGCTTAGCAGAACTCTCCTTAAATTGGGTTTTGTGGGTGCTTACTGCTTGCTTAGCAGAACTCTCCTTAAATTGGGATTGTGGGTGCTTGCTTAGCAGATCTTTCCTTAAATTGGGGTTGTGGGTGCTTGCTTAGCAGAACTCACCTTAAATTGGGTTTGTGGGTGCTTACTGCTTGCTTAGCAGAACTCTCCTTAAATTGGGATTGTGGGTGCTTGCTTAGCAGAACTCTCCTTAAATTGGGGTTTGTTTAGCAGAACTCTCCTTAAATTGGGTTTTGTGGGTGCTTACTGCTTGCTTAGCAGAACTCTCCTTAAATTGGGATTGTGGGTGCTTGCTTAGCAGAACTCTCCTTAAATTGGGTTTTGTGGGTGCTTACTGCTTGCTAAGCAGAACTCTCCTTAAATTGGGATTGTGGGTGCTTGCTTAGCAGAACTCTCCTTAAATTGGGATTGTGGGTGCTTGCTTAGCAGATCTCTCCTTAAATTGGGGTTGTGGGTGCTTGCTTAGCAGAACTCTCCTTAAATTGGGTTTTGTGGGTGCTTACTGCTTGCTTAGCAGAACTCTCCTTAAATTGGGATTGTGGGTGCTTGCTTAGCAGAACTCTCCTTAAATTGGGGTTTGTTTAGCAGAACTCTCCTTAAATTGGGTTTTGTGGGTGCTTACTGCTTGCTTAGCAGAACTCTCCTTAAATTGGGATTGTGGGTGCTCGCTTAGCAGAACTCTCCTTAAATTGGGTTTTGTGGGTGCTTACTGCTTGCTTAGCAGAACTCTCCTTAAATTGGGGTTTGTGGGTGCTTGCTTAGCAGAACTCTCCTTAAATTGGGGTTTGTGGGTGCTTGCTTAGCAGAACTCTCCTTAAATTGGGGTTTGTGCCCAGACGAACCTCTTGGAAATGGAACTTGTTAGGACGGTATGTGTAGGGCAGGAACTTCATCATTAGTTGCTGCATGTAGAGCTGGCAGCTCACTGGGGTGTACTTTAGTCGCAATATACACTGCTTTATCTAGAATATTGTTATTGAACTTTAGTCTCAATATACATTGCTTTATCTGCAATATTGTTATCAAACTTTAGTTCATAGTACAGCAAAATATTGCGGGAGAAAAATAAAATTCTATGACAAAATCTCGTTAAAGTTTGTTTTTGGAAATTAAACAAAATAAACAGTATAGAACTGAAAAAAAGTGCTCGGTTTCTTAGGCTAACTGACTAATACGTTAATACCCTATTGACTCTAACATTAATAACCCAATTATCAAACTATAGCTCTATAGTTAAGTGCACAATCAACTACTCCCTGCTAATCGAGTAAAACTACATATAATTACCTGTTCGTTCTCTTCTTTACCCAGGTAGTCTATATTTGTATATCTGTGTAAAAAGTACGTCTCTCCATGAGCCCCCTGCCTCATGTTAACATCGCTACTAGTAACATCTGGACCGTGGGTGGTAACACTGTTTACTAGTAATAGTATTGTGATGACGTCACGTAGTGTGATGACGTCATGTAGTTTGATGACGTCACGGGGTGTTGATGACGACATTTTGTGGGGTGTTGGTGGTTTTTTGGAATATGAGCGGTGTTACGTTGTCATCGTTGCCATTGTACCTGTTAGAGAGTGTCTATGTTAAATCTGTTGGTTTTACTGTTTTGTTAATTGTCAGCTGGAATAGACAATGCTAATTCTTATTGTTTGGTATTTTGTCTCGCTCAACACGCACCACACTACCCACTACCCAGTCTATATTAATATAATAATATATTAAACTGTCGTCCGCGCTAAACTAGGGCGTTATCTGATTATCAACCTTTTTGGACATTTCCCAAGATAAAGCCGTGTCTTGTGATATTTTATGATGTAAGATCATGATTCCCAGGTTTTCTTCAGAATTTAATCACCATCTGGACTCAGAGCTTGTCTAAGTTATCGTTCATTTAATATTATAACCTCTCTATACCGGACATGTCTAAGTCTCTAGGGTACTAATAGGGTATATAATATAATACAGGTTATTACTACTATAATGTTAATCCTGATTCCTAAAATCTAACTTATATCTATTATCCAGGTTGCAGGCAGTGTGAGATCCAGTAAGTATTACGACCCTGAAACGTCTGGTGGCAGCGCCAGCGACCACAGGTTTGTTCACCCCTATATTATCACAGAACTAATTTAATAATTCGTAGGGGGGGGGGGGGGGGGCGGGGGGGGGGGGTGGAGTGGGGGGGGGTGTCGAATTATTGTCTGTCATCTTACACTGATCATATTAGTGGAGAAACGGGATCTACTCTTGTAGAACTAGCTTAGTTCGTTATCACATTATCGAGAAAAGCATCACGTACGTCGTACCCTCCCCCCACATACCTACATAATATATAATTTGTACTTGAAACACATTAGAAGGTTTAATAATTTCCGCATAACATGAGCCGTGATAATACGATGATGATGTTGAATGTAATGTGTAATGTGTACTGAGTACTTATTACGTATTGTGAGTTGTGGCCGTGAGGAGGGTTCTAGATTGTAGTTACCATTTTACATGAGGTCAAGCACTAGTAATTGATTGTAACACTAGCTCGGTTTGAAACATTCGTGCGATACTTGATTTACATAAACAAAATATACATCAATAACACGAACTAATTTAAATAGGTAATGGACAGATGTACTAATTAATTAATTAATTAACTAATTGACCCCTCTCAGATCCTCCATGACGTCTGAATCCCGGGGACGTGTTCAGAGCATGCACTCTGGGATATCTAGTAATTACCATGGTGATACCTCTGCATCTGCTATATCCAGTGGTGAACACTCTGATAGTGGCGGCAGGGTTGAGATGCCTCTAGGTGAGTTAAACAAGCATGTCTTGAGAAAATGCCTCGTGGATAATATGCAGTTAGAATTGATCTTGTGTAGGGAACAAGGTTTAACCAGGTTACCAAGGCAACAAGGTTACCAGGTTAAGGTTTATTTCTAACCGTGAATAAAACCCTATTAGAGTGTTTTAGATGAGTTAAAATCAATCCTAAGTGTTCCCTATAGCTAGGTTACTGCGTAATTATTGATTGTTTGCTTCATCCAATTCAATAAACCATTCAGGTGACATTTGAATTGGTCGGATCATGATTTAACCTAACCAAGAATTAACCAATTAGTTAACCATTTCATTAATTAATTAATGAAATGGTTAATTAATTAATTAACCATTTCATTAACCAATTAACCTATTAACCAATCAGAGCACTCGTTAGAAGAGGAAGGATACGCAAAGATGGAGTTGCACATAACTGCTGGAGCAGCAGCAGTTGGTATGTTCAATTCTCCTGGGATTCGTATTGATAATGTACACTTGTATTATACAATTCTTTATAGTGCTTCCTTCCCCCCTTCCTCCTCTATCTCCATGTATCTCATTCTTGGAAATATGTCATTCTCTTTAATTTCTTATCGGGAATGTAGTTCGTTTGTGTTTTGGTGCGGTATATGATTTAAATTAATTGAATTTTTATTTGTGCTATGTTGGTATAAGCAATCTTTTTGAGATTTTATACCTTAGCAAGGTTGTACGGTATTTTTAATAAAATGTTAGCTCGTTTGAAGCGTGCTTGCTATCTGTTAGTTGTTAGCAGGGTGTTGACATGTTACCTATTATAATAATTAGCCTTTGATACATCATAGTTTTAAAATATGTTAGCGCAAACATTTTCTTTGGTATGAGCTATTTCTACTCGATTTAAATTATGTACTATGGTATGAAAATGGGGCAAGGATCTTTATACCCGGAAATTTTTGCATGCAAAACCTAAAGAATCCTAAGAATGCAAAGGAATGAAAGCCTCTTTATACCAGCACAATATGTTTCCCTTGGGAATGTAATTTTAACTCTCGACTTCAACCCCTCGTACAACTGGGTTTCAGGGATTCGGTTCCAACTAATTATGTCATGGATTAGTAATAAAAGGGTCATTTTTAGGTTTAGTTTAAGGTGCCATGTTTTTAACGGGTGGGGTTAGAATCAAATTACAAGATTTTACCAAGGGTAAAAAGTCTCTTTTTGAAAACTCAAGTCCTAAACAAACTAATCTTCAGCTTCAGGCGGACTACCACAGTATAACGACCAATTTAACGAACCCTTACCCAATAACCAACAGGGTACATTAAACTGTTATTACATTACTAATTTTTTGTTTTATAACTTACAATTTACCTTGAAAAGTTTATGTTTGTCTTTTGACATCTGTATACGTTCCTGTTAATACAGTTGTTTACAATCATTTATGATTAGATTAAGCGTTGTAATTTTTGGCTCCTTTTCTATTAGATCGGAATGATCGTTTAACTTGTGTAAAGAATATCGGAACTTCCCTGAAATTTAAAATTTTAGTCGAAGTTTCATATATATCGGTATAAATAGTAGATTTCCAGATTACTTATGCAAAATTAGACGTTGAAATTTTAGGTCCGAGTCATTTAGATCGGTACATCAAGATTAAAATCAGAGTTTTCCCGTCTTTTCTAGAGTGTAATTCGATAGGGAGCAGGCTTCCTCCGATGTCAAGCATTTTAAATTATAAATCGAACGTTTCAATTTACTTCCGGCATAATATTAGACTTATTTAGCTTTAAACTGTATATCTTCAGTACGAGCATATGATCAAATCTTGGTAAACAAACACTTAAGGCTCGATAACTGGTCGTGTTTGGTAAACTCTTAATTCACGCATCAAATGCAGTGTCCGTAATACATTCACTTTATACTTAGAGAGCTTGTATGTCAGTGAACGCTCTCAACGATGAAACAGGCAAAAAAATACTAACAAGTTAGCAATTTGGGGTCCGGCTCTACTACTAATGTTTAAGGTCTATAAATAACGGGTTAGCCACTTAGTAGATTATAATCTTAGGCCAACTGGTGCAAGTGAGTTTTATTTATTTTACTATTGCTGTTACTTCACTTTATCTGTTGAGAGATGTGATGCTCCCTACTGAACACTAAAACTCACGCTTGGCCTTCATAGATCTAGAAAAACAACAGGAAAAAGAACTGGTCGACTTAGGTTACCCCAGAACCCAGAAGTTGCGAAAAAAACATTAGGCTGTTAAACAAAACTAATTCGACTAGCAGAAAACAAACTTTAGGAAAAGTGTATTAAGGGAAAATAACCAGTCGACTAGGCTTACAGTTATACAGACATAACGTTTTGTAAAACTCACAAAATCTTACGTTGTAAATTAAACTAGCTTACAGAAGAAGCCTCAAGCCGTGCAACAAACATTAGTAAAACTGACAAATCTTACAAACTAAAGACAGAGTTATACTACAAGGTTTAGTATGTAAGCCAAGTATTGGTAGTGTCGAGTTTTAAAGTTTCAGAGGTTTCCAATAAAAGGGTGGGTAGTAACCTGTAACCGATTAATCAATGAATAAAGTCAAATTGTATACAGCACTTTATCGGTAAATATTAAATAATGACATATGATTTCAGGCTAAGTCAGATGGTATCATTAATAATAACAGATTATACTCTTAAATAGTTAAATTGAGGCAGAAAAAAACTTAAATTGTCATGTTTTCTGACAACCACAAATAAAGCAGCTAAAAATAATTATATGAAACAGGAGTTGTGCTTTGGTAACTGGTAAAAACAGAACAGATAATATCGAACACACCCTTACAGTCTACACCAGCAAGTTGTACAGTTGTACATAATTATAATTGCTATATTATAGCTGTAAGATGACAATTAGTCCAGTGATACAATTTTTATGAGTCGAACTCGAATAGAAGTAGTTTAGCAATATGTTTAAGTTGACGCTTTTTAAATCGTTAAGTTCTTAGGATTAGGAATTACTATTTTAATAGGTTGTATATTGAGCTTGCATCTAAGGGGAAAAGTTAGTTAAGTCATAGAATATAAGCAATGGAATGTTTTAATAGTTGGCGAAAAACATGTGAATGACAATTAACTAATTAACAATCAGTGTTAATTTAGCAGACCTTTTTTTATTGGTTTTATTTTATTTTATTATTAATAATATAATACAATGCGTAATTTTCCTTATATATGTTGTACTTCACCCCAGAGTACATCTGCACTAAAGGCCTCGAACTAAACTACACTGCAAACAAACCATACACAGCTGCTCAACAAAACTGCGCTTATTTTACCAAAGTACGCTCCATCTAAACTAAAATACAAACAAACTTCACCACAGTAATTATCCAAGTACGTCGTTGCCAAACAACTGTATGAAGATTGTGAAGAGAGCGGGGGCAAGGCCAAAAGAAAATCGCGATTTTTCCCATTCTCCGCAACAAATCGCGATTTTTAACGTTTGCTGCGACAAATCGCGATTTTTTCAATGCAAATTGTGTTTTTTTTTCTTTAAATCTGAGGACCAAATTTGCGCATTCTCCTTTAAAGCTTTAAATCCGAAAGCCAAATATCACGTTCTTTATAAAGTTATAAGTATATGGAACCAATCACATCCACGGCCTTCCGAATGTAGGTACGGACTTTAGAGGACCGAAAAATATTTTCAGCTCATAATGATTAGGGTAGCATAAAACATGAACAGAAGTAGTTTCCAGAAAAACTTTGAAAAAATTTCGTATTTTGGGCAAAGTGTGCCCTTCTATGGTGTTTGACAAACCATGCATGTAAATACTAAATAAGTTAGAGTGCATGGCAGGATGACCGAAAGCTGCATCCTCTCCAAAGTTACGATCATTATGAACTTATGAAATTCCAATTCATTATCCAACTGCTGCTAAACAAACTGGTGCCACACAAACTGCAGTTCTAAGCCACAACAACTAAAGTAGAACATGTTCTGTCCCCTAAGTTAGATTTATGTACACTATTATCAACTTATCAAAGGAAGTATCAAGACTAAACTTTATCCTGTACGGTTACCATGGTATCCGGTATGGTTCTCCTACGGTTACAATGGTAGTGTATATAAGAGTATAACCTTGAGTTTGAGCTTGTTCGAGGTCATGGCGGTCACGTTTTACGAGTATGACATTCGGTGGAGATAATTGTCACGTGATCAGATAATAGTTGGAGTTTTATAGGGGTTTTCCAGACTAATTGCACTCTGTTAATAGCACTCCCACCCTTGTACTACAACAGTGCGTGGTTATGAAGCTGGTGGTGGTTAAGTCCTCGCTATTGTTGTGAACTATAATTGGTCTGCAAAGTTTAAAATGCAATTAAATAATGTTTATTGGCATTAATTATGTTATAGTTTATTGTGGACGATGTACGCCAAACGCGAACGACTTAACATTTCTCTTTTTATCATGTATTATTTGATAAAGTAACATAGTGTAATGATATTATTATATAGAATGATATGACTACAGACCATAATTCAGTTGTAAATAAAATGTCTTTATATTGAACATTTACATCACTGCACTACTCCGTCTTTATGACTACATCGGATAAATGACCCTATATAATATTATATTATATAATAGGCCCTATAATATATAATATCATAGTTTGGTGCATTTCTGAATATTTTGCATAAATTATTGAAATAAAAAACTTATCAAAAAAAAACAACAATAAATTAGTTTCTCGTAGAAGACCAACAATTCACGTCACGCCCCAGTAAATATCTAATCCTCAGTAAAAAATTCGTATTATTTAGTTTATCATTTTGCGAGTTTCTACAAAAATAGAGGCCCTATGAAGAGTTGTGTAACACGACACCCTGTTATCTGTAACATGACACTAACATAATTACTCCGGTAATTCAATATTATCATTTTGGGAGGGGCGAGCAAAACTCCCATTTTATTATTAGACTGTTGCAAAAACCAATAAAATAGCCAATATAACCAGTATAATAACCAATATGTGCTGTTTTTAATGACTACAAACAATATTCAACTTATAACTTTATAAAGTTAAGATAATCACAGTATTCCTACATTTTATAATAATAATATACAGTCACACATACATGAGATCGATAATGAATAACAATTCATTCCGTTTCTTAACGGCGCAAATAAGATTACCTACTCACGGTATCTCGTACCGTGTTATTTTAACATCTCGTACTATGATTGTGTGTGTGTGTGTGTGTGTGTGTGTGTGTGTGTGTGTGTGTGTGTGAGTGTGAGTGTGTACACTGTGCGAGTGTGAGTGTGTGGTGTGAGTGTGTACACTGTGCGAGTGTGTGAGTGTGTGGTGTGTACACTGTGAATGTGTGTGTGTACACTACTTTATGTGAAGTAAGGTTCAGGACTCACTTCATGCTCTCAAGTGCCAAGAGACGCAAAAATTACTTGAAAATTCAAAATTACTAGAATATTACTTCTTATGATGTCTTACTCGGAGAACAGTTGTCAGTTAATACTATTACTCAATAAACCCGCTCTAACGTCTCCTTCGCCGTTCCACTTTATTGGCAGTGTTATTTTCTAGCATTCCACAAAATGTTCATTTTCTTTAGAACTGTAAATCCAGCTGTTGAGAACATGAGAATATGTAACACACAGCCTGTTTAAGAAGATGATAAATTGAATGTTATTCTGACACGCAGCCCTAGCCGTGAGGTTAACCTCCCCATCCTCACGAGGGACTGTAGTTACACACGGGTCACACCAATAACACGAGTAACGTGGGTAACTAACTTTTATTAATAAATTATTTACTTTCTCACCCCCTTTTGAAATTTAAATATTTACAACACGTTATAATTGCGGGTTCATGTTCGGAAGCACTAAAACCTGGTCTCTGGAAGTTAACCTCCCCATCCCCACGCGGGATTATAGTTGCAATTCAAGTGACACGAGCTAGCCACCACTTTCTCACGAGCTATTAAAAACTTACTACTCGCTACTTTCTCACCCCCGTGCAAAAAGTGGAAATGTTACCCACAGTATGCCAGAGTGTCTGGTATTCATGGCATGTTCTCCAAATTTGCGATCATTATCCAACTGCTGCCACACAAACTGCAGCCACAATATGCCGGAGTGTATGGTATTCATGTCATGTTCAGGTGCACTTCAGAGGAGAGATTCCCGTAGTTTACATGGGAAAAAGGTGTTAAATCTGGTACATGTAGAACACTCTTCTTTTTGCATATATTATGTGAGATAATATGTTACATTTCATGCAACTTCTTCATGC